GATATATGAATACATAAAAAAGAATAAGTTCTTCTAAAGTAATGTGGAGAATGAATAGCTACTTTAGGAAGTGTAGAGAGCCAATTATAATATCAGTGGCCCCCATGTATTATGTACTTGTTATATACCCAGCTTGTGCTAAGCTCTGCACACATTATCACGAAAACACTATGGGATAGATGCTATCATGAAACCCATTTTGTAGATGAATAAACAGAGGCACAAAAATGTTAAAAAGTATGTTCAACATCATAGAAGATGATAAAGTCAAGACTGAGAGAAGTCTGTATTTACCACTATTCTATTCTGCTTTTCAGTATAGCCAAATGTTAAACTGTCACTGCTACTTCTAGGGCTTTGCTATTCCTTATTGCTATGAAAAATTGTTCTTCTCTTTCTCTACTTTCTCTTTCCTCTGTGTTATATGCTCTTCTATTTTTCTCCTCTTTCTTCCTTTCCCCTTTGCTTCCTCTTATTCCCTCTGTTCAATTTCTATAATGAACATAACCTACATTAAACTATATGATCAGGTATTTCACCCTGATGTACCTTCTCTTTTCTTTTTTTACCATGAAATACAAAGAAGGAATAGTTAGCAAGAAAGGAGGTGAGTTAGGATTGTAAATGTAAAAGTAAGTTTCCAGAAACAGTTTGAATCTGGCAAAAGAAAGACCTGTGATTACAACTGACAGCAACATTTTAGCTAAATTATGGAAGAAAAGGCTGTAAGAAAGAATAATGCTTCATGAGGAAATGGAGATAGCCAATCACCAAAGACTACTTATTTGAAAAACTTGGTATAAAACAACAGAAAGAACTAAGATTATAGCTAGAAAGGATAGTTGACTCTATAGCTAGAAAGGATAGTTGACTCAAGTATGGCTGGGGGCGGAGGGAGGCTGTGGTTTGCTTTTTGTTTGTTTAACTAGAGACATCAGAGCATAATTAAATGCTAAAGTCAAACCAGTTTGTCTACTGCAGAAAACAAAACTATTGGTTCTATGACTGCAAAGACCTGGTCTGTCTTGTTCATAGCCAACACACCCAGGATTTCGTACATAGTAAATGATTACTATAAATACAATTATTCTAATCTGAGAAAAATCTATAAATTGTAAGTAGTCCATTTCTAAGTTGCATTGTTTAATTCTATATCTCCTAACAACTGAATGCTGTATTAAATGTTCATTGTACAAATATTTACAGAGTACGTACTACAAATATGTAGCATAGGATGGGAATGGGAATATAGCAGTGGACAAAACGACCCTTGCTCTAACGAGAGGCTCTAAACACAAACCAAGAATAAAAAAATATAAGGTACCAAGAGTGGTAAGTCTTAAAAAGAATACAAAATCATAATAGGGAGATATCTAGTGATAATGGGAAGTGGGGGTTAATATTTTATATAGGATGGTCATGGATGGTCTGTTTAGGTGATATTTTAGTGAGAAACTAAGCAAGGCAAATAAGCAAAGAGCACCACAGACACATGGGACAAATGTCCAGAGACCTAAAGAAGTCTTAGTGTGCGTGAAGAGCACTTAGCATGTGTGTACGTGGAGGCACCTAGTGTGTGTGAAGAGCAAGGAGGCTGAAGCAAGGGAAACAAAGGAAAGCATAATAGAGCCAGCTGTAATATAGCCAGAATCGATCTATAATAATTATAACAGTACCTAATCATTAATAAAGTTTTTCACATATGGACAGTTTTTAAACTAATACATGGGGAGAGGGAATTTTTTTTAATGTCAAATTGATTACCCTACAAAAATTCTCCATGTTTTAGTATTTTTCCTTATATAATCAGAGCTCTGATCATTCCAATAATGCAAATGATACTCTAATGTACATGTTATTCTATGAGTTAAAATTACTCCACATTAAATTTCAAGAATTTTAACATCCATGAGTCTCATGAATGACACAACAACCAACTTCCTTACAGAAAGCAGTGTCCTGCTCAGTAGATGTCAATGTCCTTTGGACAAGACTCCAACTAAAGCACTGGTGTTCAAGTCTAAGAGCTACATGCTAAGAGGAATATATATTAGTATAGTTCTAATTTTCCAAGCATGTCTCTTTCCCATTTACCTGCCAATAATTTGGTTTAAAAGAATTCAACTGTTTCCATGTATGCCACAGTGCCTGCCACGGTTTATATGCGTAACAGAAAACTAATTCAATTAAGTCAAGATATTTTTCACATGAGTATTTTTGGTTTAGTAAATGATAAATAAGATTAGGAATAAGAATTTTTTAAAAATCAACATAATAGACCTATATTAGAGATAAAAGAATTTCAGGGGCACTTACATTGGGCGGGGAAAAAGCCAAACGATAAGCAAAATGAAGCAAACTTTCTTCTTCCAAGAAATTTTAAAAAGCAAGTTTTAATTTTTTTTAATGAAGCAAAAAAGAAATACTGAGAAAACAAGCCAAATGTGCATTTGAAAAATAGAGAACTTGCCTACAGTTATGTAAGCAATTAAACCGAATAAAACCGCAGCATTAAACATGCTGCAAAATGTGCACACGCCCACTACCATTAGTAAAACTGAAACAAAATGGGAAACTAATGAGCTCAGCTGCAGGGGCTTGTTTGTTTGTTTTTTAATTTCATGCACTTGCTCAAAATGTAATTTCTATTTTACCCTAAAGACTTTTGTTGGATATAAGGGGAATCAAACGTTCTTAAACAAGAATCTGAATGAGCTCTCAAAATGCATAATTCAAGCTTCACTTGTTCTAATGCACATCTGATGTATTCTGTTTTAATATTTTTGACAGGTTAATCATTTGTCTTCATGTTTAAAGAACACAAATGTTTTGCCAGTGCTGTTAAACAGGTCGTATGGGGGTGAAAAGAAAATGTTAGAGAAGGGAAAAAACTGTTTTTTCAAGGTGCCTTGTTGAGCAAATGGTGGGGAAGCATACTTAGGTACTTGACCACGATATGCAAAGTTTTGAGCCATTATGAAAGCAGAAATAAAGTAAAGCGCAGCAATAAAAATGAACATTTTAACAGGAAACTTTTGTTATTTGGAATAAAGAAATAAGTTACTTAAAAACAAAAAAATAATAGTCTTAAATTTTGCAATGACAATGGTAAATAAAAAAAAAAAGCCCTCAAGGCTAAGGAAAATGGAAGCCAAAAACAGGGTTTTAGAGACTTATCATAAAGTAGCAAAGTGACAAAATTAAAGTCTGTGAAAAATCAGTTCACCATGCAAAGTAAGGAGCTAGATAAACAGTCATTTTCAGTTTTGACTATATTTAGTACTATTTGTTTTGCTCTGACTTGAACTTGAATTTAATTAGAAACAAAAAACAATTATGAGAAATATTTTCATCAAATTTAATTGCAATTCTGGCTTAATTTTTAAAATAATGTTCAGTTTTAAGTCTTACCTAGGAAATAATATAAATATGATTCCTTAACAAAAGATACTACTGTAACGGTAATCATTAATGAAAAATGTCAAACCTCAGTCCGACAGCTGATGAAGATGTGTGATTCACCACAGGCCAGCAAAAATAAACAAAACTCCAGCACAACAAAAGAACTAGAGAATCCATTTGAATTTGCTTAAATTACAGCCCATGATGTAGAATTCAGACAAGTGTTAGGGGCTAGCATGGATGAAAAATTCTAGCAGGATTTTTTAGCTCAACTAGAGTTAAAATTTGAAGACAAATCTACTAAAAAAATTTTAAATATTTATTCTGTTTACGCAACAAAATTTTATTTGAAACAATACCTATCTACACCAGACATTTAGCACTACCTAAAAAAAAAACTGTTGGCAAATGAACTTGCTTTTCTTCCCAAATGTATCCATTAACGATACTGCTTACTAGGAAAAGTCCCTAAGCTTAAAAATCTCAGCATCATTTGATTCTTCCCTTTCTCCCCCTCAACCTTACCATTTGTAAACGTTTAGTTGCAAAGTCCTAGTATCTTTGACATTTGTCTTCTTCACTCCAGTCTCATTATAAAGACCTTTATTAGTCTCTTGCAATTGCACACTAACTCGTCTCCCTGCCTCTAGTTTCAATTCGTGCCAATACATCTTACAAACTCTTGCCAATTAAAGCTCTAAAGAACAAATTATGTCACTCTCCACCTCAAACACTTCTAAGGGATTACTTTTGAGTACACAATGAAAGTCCATGCTCATTAGCCCGTCCTTCAAAGTCCTTCTCAATATGGCATCCATCTACCTTTCCGACATCATTTTCCATTATTCTCTTCAACTTCAATATAGGGGTACGATTCCCTACAGCCAAAGAGAACTAATTGATATTTCTTGTACTTGGCCTATAATCTCTGACTTACTCCAATGACTAATAGATTCCTCATATTCAAAATAATATTCCCCTTAATCAATTCATCCAATTAATGTCACCTCCTTTATGATGCCATCCCTGATTCCCCACCTATATGCAAACTCCTCCTCCACTGAACATCCAGAGCACCTTGTGAATTTATTATATAATACTTCACACTTTATAACATGGCTCTTTATGTAGCGATCTTATTGCTCTATGAGATTTCTTAAAGGGAAAATACCCACAATGGCAAAACTCCCTAAGGGAAAATACCTGCAGAGCCATGCGCACAGTCAGCATTCACACACATGTTGAACACTTAAATCAATGAGCACACATATTAATTGATAAAGAAGTATAAAAATCAATAAAACAGTGTGATGATAACATACCTAGTAGATAATACATTGTATTTATTTGGAGCTGGGCTATAATTTAAAGAACTATTATTATAAAGTAACTACATTTTCAAATTACATTGGATTACCACTATTAATGCCAAAGGAAAAAAAAATCAAATCTTTATGTTTTCATATAAAACAAAACTGAAATACCAAGACATACTATTTATTCTACATAAATATTAACAACTTTGTTTCCTAACTGAACAAAGTTAAGATGAAAGTTGTTCATAGTATATTGACATAATACAAAGAATTCTCCCTTACTTCGAGTATGCTTTGGAAATCTTTTTTTCAGTTTCTTCTTCAATGGATTAAGCTCAGGCATTATTTCTGGAATAGCTACAAAGAAGTCTACATGAATTTCATCATCCAAAATCTGAAAATGAGAAAAAAGAAAGATAATCTTAGATTAGATGAAAAGCTTTATTCTTCTGAGAATAAAGTAGAATGTAGTAATTTCCATTACAATTCAGAAAACAGACCTTAAGCACAATTATTTTCTTCAAACACAAGGATCATATGAATACATTTACCAATTATGAAAACAAGAAGCAAACATTTTGTTCTGTTTTCTTTTAAAAACAACTACATCCATTTTGTAAAAACTTAATGGTTTTAATTCTTCCATGGGGTTGTGCTAGGCAAAATGTTATAAACTAGAACATCACACTGATATGTACATGGCTCACACAGTCCCACAAAGTTCAATTCATATGTCCTTTAAAATTGAAGAAACCTACTAAAGCTAAAAATTTTGCAAGAGGTCACATGCAAAATTAATAAGCACTAGCTGCCAAAGTCACTAGCAACCACTAGCTTCCTAAATTTAGAGCATCAAGAGAACTGAATCTGTAATTATTTTCACAAAGAACTGAAACTAAAATTCTCCTTGCCACCAATAACTAAAAATAAAAGAGGAGGGGGAGTGATCAAAGACAAGTTCATTTATAGTCTATTATTTACACTTTATTTCCATTCTCAGAGCAAAGGGATTAATATTAATATTCAATTTTTAGAAAATGTTTTTGATTAATTCAGGCAAGCACCCAAAATAATTATTATACTACTATGATATACTTAAAAATTTTGTTGATTATAAAATTAAGCAACTTT